ACCAAAATTATTTTTAAAAATAAATGAATAATAACGATGTAATTAAAAAAAAAATGTTTAAAGGAACATTAATACTTTAAAGATTAATTTTTTATGTATTTCCCCTGACTCGTGCTCATATTTAGCTGTCAAAATACAAAAAAAATAAGTGCTTAAAAAAACATTAACTCACACTTTTTGACTGATCTATTTAGCTCTGGTCACTCAGAAAAAAGAATATGGACCAATAAAAAAAATAAAATTATTTTTCCATTGTGGGGGCTTCAGCCAGAAAGCCTCTTACCCTCCCCCCTCTTCTCGTCCCCACCACATGGATGCGATAGTGGTATACTTTTATGAAATTATTAACACTTGTCTAAAACATGTTGAGTGGCTTCATTTTATCGTAACGTACAAATTCTTTATCTACGAAAATTCTCGAAAAAGTCAGAGAATGATGAACGAGAAATGTCTCAATGCGTAAGATGTCAATTTAACGCGGCAGTAAAAACTCATGAGTCATCGCATTCCACCTGAATAGTGAGGTAATTTGATCACGAAACCGGAAAAAAATGTAGCCTACAAAGATATTGGGCCGTTTGGCTTATATCACCTCATTATTTTGAAATGTTTGGGGTTGGAGGTCACACCAAACGACCCAATATTTATGAAGGCCACCCTTTTTACAGTGATCTAATTATCTTACGATTTAAATGGAAAACAAATAGTTGTTTATTACTTTTTAGTCCCTCATTGAAATTGAAATTTTACCGAATCCGGATTGAAAACACACCATTTCCGAGAATTTCCGTAAGCTGCGCCATCAAAAATTTTTTGAAGGGGGTCATATTTTGAGTTTTTTGAGGGGGGGTACATTTCGACAGGGTTATGGATTTTCAGAATGTAAAGTTTTCAACAAAAAGACTAAAGAAAGCATGGAATGGGCTGCAGGAAGTGTAATTGTATTTAATTTAAGTTTTTTCTAATTCTACTTTTGCTTGAACTGTTTTTAAGAAGTGGTGAGCAATAAAATATTTTGGGAGGGAAGAGGGGCACCATTGACCTTCGGGGAAGAGATCCCTGGATTACACGTTATAAAAAAAAATAGTCATAAGTTGGTAAGGTAAGGTGATGCTTGTGTTTGTGGTCATGGTATAGATGGGGGTTAAAAAAAAAATAATATAAAACTAAAGTAGAGAGAAAAATAATTTGTTTGTAAAAAATGTTATTTTTAAACCTCTTGCGGAACCTCAAGATATAAATACAGAACAACGAAAATTCATGGTGTTTTTGTTAATAAAAAGGCAATTTGAATACTATTACAATGTCATCCATCGAAAAAATATTTCTAACCTAGCGTGCAATCTTCTTTTCGGAAAATTTTAGGCTGAAACCCACGTAATCGACCTACGTTCGTTTTATAATATTTAGGAATATATTACTTCCCAGCCAATAGCCTTATTTCTAAAGACACAACAGATACCCTGTACAGTACCCGGGTTTCTTATAGTAATAGAGAGGAATGAACAACCTAAGTCACCAGATCTATTAAACGAGTCTGGTTCTGATCCTTTTACTAACCAGCACAGTGCGTTCATAACTTTGTTATCAGCGGGCTCGCCCGTTTGTTCACTAAAACGGTGATATCACTCCTTATCACTGAGTATACCCATATTCACTTTTACACAGGTGATTAGTGATATGATAAGTGGGGCAGATAAAATGAATAGTGGTTGAGAAATGTAATGTTGAAATGGAATCATTTGAAAAAATATATTTAAAAGTTTTGTTTAGTTGCAATATTTTAGAAATATAAATCAACAATAAATATCTTTTGAGCTTTTCGTTTACAGCTCGATAAAGAAGTCGTGAATCGGTCCCGGTTTGGCCAGGTCGGCCGATCGCTGACAGACCCCGAAATGGATTCCAAAATCAATGTTTTGTATTTTTCTTCTACCCTGAGATGTATGCGTTCCCAAAATCAATGATTTATATTTTTATACTACCGTGATATGTACGTTATTATTTATTTATTTGAACCCTACAGTGCCATTGAGACAATACGGGTTTTGCAGATCTGGGTTGTTACACGCCAATGCATAACTGCCTGCTTCTGCAACGAGACCAATGTTCATATTTACATTTATTGTTTATTGCCATATTCCGCTGCTCCTTGTTCCGGCGGCCTCCTTGACACGGCTCCTCTTCTTGTGAGGTTGAAGTGTGCGGGTCCAATGGCTTCTTTCCACTCGTACACAAATTCTTTGTAGTACGGGTAGTTTTCTTCCATAATTATCTGAGGGAAATTGGTCTCCCTCACCAATTTGGCCCTTAGTGACTCAAAGGCGATGCAGTTTATGATAATGTGCTCAGCAGTCTGCGGGATCCCACAGCTAGGCCATAGAGGATCGACATCCTTTCCAAATCCATGGAGCTTGTCTCAAAAGCCCCCATGCCTAGTAAGGAATTGCGAGAACCAGTAATCCGGGAGGACCCACTTGGCTTCCAAACTTGATTGAACGGAGGGGAAGTACTTCCTCAGAGTAACTCCTTTCGGGCTTGTCACCCAGCGTTGATTCCACACTTTAATTGTATCCTCCCGGATAATAGATTTCCATTCTATGGGGTTTTCGTCGATTCTCTCTTTGAGGTTTCCCGGTAGACCTGCTGAACTCTCTTTCTTATATATGTACCAGAACAGATGATATATATGGGTCCCCAAAATGAATGTTTTATATTTTTCTAGTATCGTGACATGTATGGGTCTCCAAAATCAATGTTTTATATTTTTCTAGTACCCTGATATGTATGGGACCTCAAAATCAATGTTTTGTATTTCTAGTATTCTGATATGTATGGGTAATAAATAAATAGATATAAATATAGCTTAGCGACTATCGTAGAGCTCTCACGCTTTGGTGGCCTTCATCTACTCCCATTCTTTCTGCACATTCTGCGATTTCTGCATTATAATCAAATGTGGACTGGAAGAGGGCATTCGGTACATTAGACAGTCGCTGGGCAATGGACCAATGCTGTAAAGGAGTCTCCCATTGACAGCGGATCAGTCCCGATCCGCGAAATCTCCTTGGTGCATAGAATATCGCCGTTGATGTATTAGCAAGTAGTCCGATAATGGTCTTGATACTCCTGCGGATATTTGTATCAATTCCTTCCAATATCGCAGGGCGTATCTTTGTGAAGGGCGCCATCTGGAGAGGTAGGTAAGTCTCGGTTGATCATCTGCTACGGTTTAAGAAGGCAAGAGCTAATAAATTTGTCTAAGTTATTGTTTGATTTGGTCACCATTTCCTCATTTAGTGCTAGCCTTCCCGAGAACGTACATCCTAAGTATTTTATAATTTCACCAGGCTTTGTTGATGCTATAACTTCTCCGTTTTCTAGGGAGAGCTTTGTTTGTTGCAGCTCTCCTTTCTCGGTTATTAGGCTCACGATTTCTGTGAATTTATAGCGAGACCAATCTCCGCAAGGATCCTCTGCACACCATTGTCAATCCTCTCAGCAGCACCCTTGTCACGTGCTGTAACAGCCTGGTCATCCGCGAAGCCTGTGGGGACAACACATCCTTGGTCGCTGGTTAATTTATATCCATAGTAGTTGGATCCTTGGTCACACAGGTTGATTTGGTTTGACCCCAGGAGAGCTGCAATAACGTTTTTCAGGTCTGGTGACACTCCTCTTGGCTGTGTGAGCCAATTATATGATCGTGACCTATAACTGGTAAAGTGTCTACTGCTGGTACATTTATCTTAGTGTGGTTTCACCGTAGGCGGGTAAGGAGAGAGAGAATCACTTTATTATCATAAAATAGAATAAAATGGTGCTGCCCAATTACATTGGGTTGCTAACAACACAGCATACTTATTAATCACTACAGACATTATTTAAAATTATTATACAATTATATAGGATTAACAATATGTATGAGCATAGTATACAATATTTTATACGTATATATATATTATTATTTTTTTTTTATTTTTTTTTTCTCCTTTTTTTTATTTTATAATTTTTACTATTTCTTTCATTCATTTATTATCATTCTGTACCCTTTCTCTTCCTTCTCTCCCCCTAGACATGTTCCCACTCCTCACATTCTCTCCTCTCTATTTCTAACCTAATACATAAAAAATACATTAAGTACAGTGGACGTGTTCAATAAATAATAATATAAAAATGCTGTAACACACGCAGGCCTCCCCCCGCGAGCAAATTCTCCCCCTATCCGCTCCCATGCACATGGTGGTGGATGATTCCCAGGGAGTCCAGGATTATACTCTCTGCCAACCTTGCCACGTCCTTTATGTCGACACCAAGGCCCTCCATGAAGCTCCTTGTTGAGTCTGGTATCGTTCCGCGAGCTCCGAACCAAAGGCCTCTCACGTGGAACTCTCTCGGTCCGAAACTCTCGCGGAACTTTTCACTAAGGAAAGGGATGCATTTCTCATATGTCTGTTTTTTCTCCCTTTCCACTTTTTCTGCCTGATCGAGGTCATTGGTCTCATATCTCACGGTCGGATCCAAAATCATCGCCGACTTTCCCGTCTTAGGGAATGCTACAATGTCGGCATATCGGGTGGATCCATCCGTATCTATACAATATACTTCCTCGAAACAGGCGTATTCTCTCTCTTCAAGGAGCCTCATCAGTTCATGCTTGACTCTGTGGTGACGGCGTGTTATAAGGAGGGAGTTGTTGGGGCATTTTCCAAGCACATGTGCTGGTGTTTCTGGCTCTCTGTCGCATTTGCGACAGAGGGATCCAACTTTTCTTACCTGTCCGCTGACACCTGGGACTCCACGCAGGGGAGCATAATTAATATTTAGTTTCAGGGCATTTGACCATTCAGACCCAGAAAGTACTAGTTGATGAAAATATGAGTGAAAATATAAATGAAAATATGAATGAAAATATAAGTCACAAGTTAGCTATTTTAAACTTATCAACAAAATAAATAACAATAATTATGGTTAAGTTTTAATCTACTCTTTGTTGACAGCAATTTCATCGTTCCGAGTGCTGACCTTCGTGGACAGGACGATAGTGAAGCTGATCCACGTGGCAGTGAACGCCGGAGCCCTCATAGTGACCTTAGTGGGCATCATCGCCATACTCTCCAATAGACCCACCTTCTCCCTCCATGGGGTTATCGGCATGATAACCTTCCTCCTCTTCGCCATACAGGTGACGTCGTCAACTTTTGATTATGTGATGTTATTAAGCTTTATTACATATTATAAAAACACTATTAGAATTAGTTAAAGTTCAGAGATTTTTCAATGGGACAAGATATTCAACTATGAAATAAATTGTTACATTAACAGTCACAGATTGTTTAATTGTTAAATATTGAAATGGGCGGCGCCTATAACTTCCTAATAAACCCATGCACGAACGCCTCATGGCATGGATAATTATCTGCAGCGACGAGTAGAGATAATCTCCTTCGTTGTGGCTGTAGATACTTATGCTCCTCATAAGCTTGGTCCTCAGTGCCTCAGACGCAGTGCAGTTGGTGATCACTTGTTAGGCAATTTCCGGGATCATTGGAGCATAAGGGATCATTATCTAATCCAAGATTGTGTAACATGGCGAGAAAAACCGTATGTCCGGTGAGGGTTTGGGAGACCCAATAATCAGATTTGACCCATCTGGCTACTAGTCGAGACTGAACGGGGTGAAAATACTTCCTTAGGGTAGTTCCTTAATTAGTAGTGACCCACCGACTGCTCTATTCTTCGATGGTAGCTTCTCTCAATGTTGATTTCCAATTTTCAATTGGGCCGTTCTTCAATTCTCACATGAAGGTCCTCCAGGATCCCTGCCGGGTCATCTCTCTTGTAGGTATATTTGACAAATCTTCTTGCAGGAGGAGATCGAGAGGTATCTTCCCTGCTAAGAGCCGTCTTCTGGATAGATACTAGCTTGTTCTTCTTTCGGTTCAGGTACCATGAGAGAGAGGCATACCTTAATATACCCAGCATCATTCGTTTGTAGATGGCCTTGGTCACTGAGTATCTAAGGCCCCAGGAATACGACTGACACCTTCACCCTCGAACTGTCACCCTGCTTGCCGAGTTTTCCAAATTGTACGCCAAGATAGGTTACCACCCCACTTGGACTAATCGTTTCTCCCTGGATCTCTAAGACGATAGGATGAGCCCTCTCCAGTTGTGCCACTTAACATGATTGCTTGGGTCTTGGCAGCAGCCATTCTCATCTTCCTACTCGCGCACCGAGTTAGCACATCTTTCTATCTCCGGTTTGACCCCTGCTCAGGTAACCATTGAAAATTGCAAGTAGTTTCTCTTCAATATAAGAGTTACTATTCCTCAAGATTAGCGGATCTATGGCATCTAGACCCGGACCTCGACCAGATTTTCATTCATTCATTCATTCACAACATAGATCGCAGATATCCCATGTTGGGCATAAGTACATGTCAGGTGGACACATAGTAGTGCACCTCGCTAATCCTTCTTCTTCATTATCCAGCGATGGGTCTTCATATTGTTTTAATAAATATGGTTGTTGACTCTTCAGGTATACTTACCTCCTTATCCCGATACTTAAGAAACGCAAATTCTGAAGTATCATTATTTTTTCCATGTCCACTCTGTGTGAAATACTTCAAGGATTCTTTGAAGATTCATTATTTGAAGATTATTATTATACCTTTAATTTGGTTTATTTTAAATAATTAATTATACTGTTAGGAAAAACGGCTAAATATAACTTTTGCAAGAATTTGATAATTAAATAGAGGAGAAATGCTTGTCCAGGTCGAAAATGAATCTCCGGAAATAATAGTCTGAAGGTATACCTACATAATACATCGTTGGAAAACAAGAGAATTTTAGATAAAATACTATCTAATATATTAAGTTGTAGATGGTAACAGAGAGTGACGAAAAAAAATATAAACAATAATTTCTGAAAACTAACATTCTATTTTAACTAAAAAGAATTAAATAGAAATATCCCTATTAATTTTTTAGCATTTTATAATAAATGTTAAAACAAAATATAAGTGTATTCATAACGTTGATACATACACGTTATTACGAATATTCAGATGACAAAATCATATTTTTCATAAGTAAGGCCTCAAATCTTATCAAAATAACCCGATATTTTAGTATGTGTTGTCATTTTATTCTTTCACCAAATCCAGATTCTATGGTGATTTAATTAAAATTATATATATATACAGGGATGCCCAGAAGAGGGTTTCATGGCGCAAATTGCGCCATCCAAATTTATGAGGGGGCACTTTTTGACGGAGTTTTCAATTTTTGAGGGGAGCACATTTCGACGGGGTTATATATTTTCAAAATTAAAAATTAAAAGACAAATGGAAGCATGGAGCAGACTGCAGTATGTGTAATTGTGTATAATCTACGAATATTTAAATTCTTCTTTCATTAGCGCTGTTTTTAAGAAGAAGAGAGGAATAAAATATCTTAGGTGGGGTGGGGGAACGTTTATGCACCATAGGTCTTGGAGGGGATGGGCATCCCTGACTACGGATGCGATTTTTCACTTAAGAAAAATACTCTAATCAAGTTTAACTTTTGTATTGACTTATTTTCTATTGCAGTGGTTTTCCGGATTCTTCAGCTTCCTGTACCCAAAGCTGGAGCAGGACACGAGAGCCGCCATGATACCCTACCACAGGGCGGGTGGAGCCGTTATCTTCGGCTTGACTATCGTTACCGCGGTGGTGGGTATCCATGGCTACGCCACCTTCTCTAAACTAATATGCTTTTCCTACGGCAGAGCGAGGTAATACATAATATAAGACTTATTTAGGATTTATTTATTTAAGTAAGACTTAGACACAGACCCTAAAATAACATAAAATAGGAGAATAACAAAAATTAAAAGATCACATCTGGTCAAAATAAAATCAATCGAAAAAAAGAAATAATGTAAAAAAAATATAAGGTAAACATTCTATATACAAAACAAACGAAACTATATACAAAACAATTAATACTATGACAAGGCACTTAAAGCTATTTGCACTGATAGACAAGTATACACTTTTAAGAAAATAATAAAGAATTAAAAAATAAAAATGTATCAAATTCTCTATTAAAATCAGCTCCAATGGTTAGCAACTATCTGACTGTTTTTGGGATAGGAATTGGAATAGGAGGGTTTTGAATAAGGATATGGAGGAGGAATGTCGAATTTTGAGAGCTAGAGAATTCCAGAAATTGACAGCGCGAGCTATAAAGGAATTCTGAAAGAGACAGATCTGTGCGAAGGGATGGAAAGGTTAGAAGGTCGAGATCTTGTGGACAGAGGATGGACTGAGGATTTGAACTGGAGAAGGTTGTAGGCGTGAGAAGGACGATGGTTGTTGATGCTTTGTCCGTAGAGAGATATGAGAAATATGGTGATTACAAAAGAGGTTTTGATCAATAAAAAATCCTAAATTTTTAACATAGGAGTAGAAGGAGATTGGCTGGTCATTAAGGTGAAGGATGGGAAAGTCTGGATGGGATCTAAGAAGGGGCTTGGAACCAATGACAATGGTCTGAGTTTTGGCAGCATTTAACCTTAATCCATTTACATTTACTCAGCACTGATTCGATCTAGGTCTTCTTGGATCTTGGCAAATGCCCCCAGTAACTCAGGAGGGGAAAATGATAGGTACATCTATGAATCGTCTGCATAAATGTGATGGGAACAATGGAGAATTGATTTAGGTAGGTCGTTAGTGTAGGAGCTGAAAAGGAGAGGAGATATGCTTGAACCCTGGACAACTCCAGAGGATGAAGAAAGGAAGGCAGATAGTGGTTGGTTGGGTATGGAGACTGCTTGGGTACGTTATGAAAGGAAAGATTGAAACCAAGAAAATATAGCAAATAAAGGATTAATGGCCCACTTTCGGTCTTAACGACTTTCACAGCTGTAAAGATAACTTCATCCTTTTACTATAAATGGTTCTTAGTAATAAATAGTTGCAAATGACTTAAACAGAGGGAGCACTCTTGAATTAGAAGCGATGATGGTTCAAATCTAGTCTAGCAGAGTTTTTTATTTCATGGTGCACATCCATATCCAATAAAATATATATTTTTTTTAATATCAAAACAAGCACTTCCGCGTCTAAGAGACATGTTCTTGTTTTCATACGATAGTCTTCATCCTTCTTTCACCTATACCATTTCCTACTCGATAGTGTACCTGTGACTATTTTATTATGGATTAGCAGATAGTTATTATAATAAGGAAAAAACAGAGTTCCATAAATACGCCGTTTAGTCAAAACAAAATTTGAAGTTTGAGGAGGTGAGGGATGGACTATAGTCATAAAAGTGAGTAAGTCTTAGGAAGAACCAATATTATGAATTTTGCCTTGATGGCAAAGGAATACTAGGTATTTACTAGGTACTATTATACAATTATTACTCCACTTTGATGAATAGTACAAGATCTCAGGATAACATTATGAATAGAATCCAGAGAATGTCCGAATATCATCAAAAGTAGACAGGAGTGACCGGTTCGCCTGATGAGGTCCCGACCTCAACTGAAAAGATGGCGTTGCAGATTTGTTTATCCCTTTAGAGCGAGCGAGAGTAAAAAACAGCGATTTTTAACGCCCCGATTGTAATTGAAGAGGATCAGTAGGAAGTACTACGAAGTTGTAATTCGCAATCTAAATAAACGGAGATTATCCTTTGGACGAACACACATGGTTTAAAACCGGCTGTACTTCGAGGTTTGATCTTATAGCATTGTTGCGGATCCTGTTCTGTGTCTTTTGAACTTCCCTTCAAACTTTCCCAGTTATCTCATCTCCATTGTCTAGATTCGTTCCTTGTCTTTAGAGATAAGGGTCCATAATTCCGCGGAGTAAGAAGCTTGACTTGCAGATTGATACCTTTCTTCTTCATCTCTCTTCTGTTGAGAAAACCTTTCCGGGTTGAACATTCTTCCTGCTGATCACATTCTTTGATATAGCCGCTTTCGTTGATAGGCACTTAGATATATTTAAAATCCTGCACCTGTTCTAAGATGGTTCTTTCAACCTCAATATTCTCATCATTTGTTGGTAAATTCTTTTTATTCTCATGCATTTTATTTTCTCTCGATTAGTATCCATATCAATGTGGGCCATCTCCTCTAGCATGATATTTACATTATGTTGTAGGTGCCGGTTATCCGTAGCAAATATTTTGAGGTCGTCGGTAAAAAGTAGCCTGTAGGCTGTTCTGGAACAGATGCTGCTGAGAAGAGCAACATCTTAAACCTAGACTGCGAATATTTTAACTTGGGCATAGGGTGGGTGGTTTAGGTCCTCTTCAGTTAACATCGGGGCGTTAATTAGCCATAAATTACATAGCTGTTCTCTATGACTAAATAAAATAAAAAAATCTCCAACAGGCCCTTTTCAGTTGAGGTCAGGAACTTGCCAGACGAACCAATCCCTCCTGTCCATTATCCTGATTCTATTTATAATATAACCCTGAGATCTTGTAGCATCAAAGTGGAGTGACACTTGTACAGTAGTACCTAGTAAAGTATTCCATTACTATCTATCAATTCACAATATTGGTTCTCTCCAAGACTTACTCTTTGACTATATCCATCCCTCTCTTCCTCAAATATCAAATTTTGTTTCGACTAAATGCCATAGTCATGGAACTCTGTTTTTTCCTTTTTATAACAACCCATCTACTAATCCATTATAATTTTTTTTTTTATTAACGAAATTTACAATTGTAATTAATAATAAATACAACAAGTAAATATGAACAAGGAATATGACATGTACAACATGAGGAGAAACTACCCATTGGTAGCACTCCAATTATATTTCTATATTAGAAGGTCCCGAGGCCATCTTCTTTTTAGACGCCTCGGAGGGTTATCAGGAATAGAAGAGGAAGCAAGGTTGGAAACGAGAGGGTTCGGATGGTTCAGAAGTTTATTATGAAAGGACAGGTATCTGGATTGAGCTAAATCGGAAACATATGGTACATTAAGGTCATTATGGATGATTTTATTTGTGACAAAGTAGGGAGCATTAAGGATTTTACGAAGGATTTTGGATTGTAGGGATTGGATACGAGAGGAATTTGATGGTTTAGTAGAGCCCCAAAGCTCGATCCCGTAAGTCCAAATAGGCCTTATTATAGTAATATATATGAGTCTTTTGTAAATAGTTGGCAGTTTAGAGTGTTTGTCTAGTAAGTGCTGGAGTAGTCGGAAAAATCGGGCGGTTTCTAGTCGTTTCAGTCTGGTATGGGGATTCCAAGTGAGTCGTTTGTCAAGGTGGAGATATCGGATTTGGTCAACAGGGATAAATGAGGTATTGTTAAAGGATACTGTAGGACAGGAAGTCATAGGTTTACGGCGAAGAGTAAAGGTAATTTGATGGGATTTATTGGAGTTTATTTTAATCCTCCAGTTTTGACACCATTTTTCAAGACTTGTAATGTGTGATTGAAGAGTTTGGGATGCAATAGATGGATCGTTATTGACTGATAGGATACATGTGTCATCGGCATATGTGGTGATGACAGTGTTGGAATGGGTTTGGATGTCAGTTGTATAAACTGTATAAAGGATAGGACCTAGGATACTACCTTGAGGAACACCAGCAAACTGAGAAAAAAGAGATGAAAAAGCATTGTTATGATTGACTTTGAAGAATCTGTCAGTAAGGTAGGAACGGATAATGAGGAAGTATGTAGGTGGTAGGAATTTACGGAGTTTGTACATCAGTCCGGGATGCCAGACTCTATCAAACGCCTGTTCAACGTCGAGAAAGACTCCCGTGCAGTACATTCCGCGCTCCAATGCAGAGGAGACTACATCTACCACACGATGGCATTATTGTATAGTGGAGTGGGATGTGCGGAATCCAAATTGGTGATCTGGGATAATTTGTTTAGAGTCTAGGATAGGATACAGGCGTTTTAAGATGAGTTTTTCCAGGATTTTGCCCATAATGGGTAAGAGAGAAATAGGACGGTAAGAGGATGGGTGTTCTGGCGGCTTCGTGGGATTATAAAATAGTCACAGCTTTCACCATTACACTATCGAGTAGAAAATATTAGATAAGAATTAGCGAATGAGGAATAATTCCGTAAATTATTCCTCACTTAACGTATCGGAGGCAGTAAGGACTTTAGAAGTAACACTTTTATTGATAATGCTATAAATATATAGGTTGATCGCAAGAGTTCACTCCAGGTCTCCTACAAGAATATGACAACAAGATCACGGATCTTGGTCTCCTGGCAAGTGTATGACTTCAAGAAAGTAACTGCAAGAGTTATTAGTCTAGAGGCCCATAAGGTTTATATACTCTTGAATAGTAGTGAAGTGAAGGAATTCTGGGAGGTACAGGGATCATGGGAAAGGAGTTATGAGAAGTTATTAACAGTTGTTATTATCATCCCTTAGTATTGAATGGCTTTTTGCTGGAATTTGTTATTTTTCCCTAAGTCTTGATAATGGCTCTTTTTGTGTCGAGTCGGTTCCTTTTAGATAATTATTTCTAAGCTACCAGAGATAGCTTGACTTGGCTATCTAGGAATAGTTTTGTCCTCTGAGGTATGTGAATTGTCAATACACGATCCATCAGCTGGCACAATTAACAAACTCATTTATTAAAATGAACGTTAAATGAATATTATTATTAATTGTGGATTGATGGTTGACTGTATAATTGAAGAGAAGAATGGGGTGATCAATAAATAAAATAAATAATTATATTTATTTTTATATTTGCCGACGTTTAGGACAAAAGTTTCAGACCTATAAAAAACAGATAACAATAGGTGAGAAACTATAAACATTAAATAATAAATAATTAAAATGGTGAAAGGTATAGACTAAAAAATGTAAGTAGAATAAACATTTTTTTTTTTATTTCTTTATGACATTTACAACTGTATTACATAAATACATCAAGATCACGGGGCCATCTTCTTTTCAGACGCCTCGGAGGGTTATCAGGAATTGAAGAGGAAGCAAGGTTAGAAACGAGAGGGTTGGGATGGTTCTGAAGTTTATTATGGAAGGATAGGTATCTGGATTGGGCCAGATCTGAAACATAAGGAACATTAAGATCTTTATGGATAATTTTATTAGTGACAAAGTAAGGAGCATTGAGGATTTTACGAAGGATTTTGGATTGTAAGGATTGGATGCGAGAGGAATTCGATGGTTTAGTGGAGCCCCATAGCTCAACTCTGAAGTCCAAATAGGTCTTATAGTCAAGTATATGAGTCCTTTGTAATTAATGGGAAGTTTAGAGTGTTTGTCTAGTAAGTGCTGAAGTAATCGGAAACGTCGAGCGGTTTCTTGTCGTTTCAGTCTAGTATGAGGATTCCAAGTTAGTCGTTTGTCCAGGTGGAGTCCTAGGGTATCGGATTTGCTCAACAGGGATAAGTGGAGTATTGTTAAAGGAAACTGTAGGACAGGAAGTCGTTGGTTTACGACGAGAATAAACATAAAGTAGAATGAGTGAACATCAAAGTAAATTAACTAGATAGAATAACAACAGTAACAGAGAAGTAGATAGAGTAAAGTAGATAGAGTGAACTTAAAGCAGAATAAGTAGGTAGAATAACAACAGTAACAGAAAACTAAGAAATAAATAATAACGGCAACAAAGTAGGGACTAATGAAATAAACATAATCAAAACAAGGTAACAAAAGAACCGAATTAAAAACGAAAAGTATTGTAATGTATAAGATAATAAACGTAAGTGTAGACAAAAAAAATAATAAATGAGGTGGCATAGTTGCTGAAATATGAAGTAATACTATGCTAAAAAGAAGTGAGATAATCTTAAAATATAAAACAGAGAAAAGGAATATGAAGTCATATAAGGAAATAATAGATATAAATAGAAAATTGAGATATTGTAAAATCTATCAAAATATACTAATTACGTATTAGAGTATAAAAAGATAAAATAATGTAAAAAAGATAAATGAGTAATTATATAATTATTTATTTTTCCAATTTTTTAATTATTCTTATTTATTACGAATCAAGTCTATTCCGTAACTCTGGAATGTAAAACTGGTTATATATATATTTTTCTCTTAACTGTTTGTTGTTATTCAAAACATAAATGCTCGGACGAAGTTTTGTTTTGTCCAATATTATACAGTAAATTATTTTTCTTTTTTGTTCACATCTATTAAGCTTCATTCCAAGTTTTTAGGTTAAACTTTGAGGGAGTTTAACACAGTCACATGATGAATTTTTGTTATAATACTCTTTTGATTTTTGTTTTTCAGTGATTACTCCGATGAGATGATAGCAGCTGGAGTATTCACTCTGGTCTATGGATTGCTGTCAGTGATTCTCGTCCAAGCTAAAGTCTTCAAGCGAAGCTAACATTAAGGAATGGAAGTTTTAACCCCTCTCGTATTTTTATGTTATACATTACTTTGCACAGTAATGTTTTTGTGAAGATTTATTACCAATAGTTCACGAGGAACTACAGTTCAAAATAATATTAGATATCTGTGTGATCGTTATCCTCATCGGTTTATTGCAAAAAGTCACTTGCTACATTTTATCGATAAAGTTAATAAAAATCTTTTATCGATAAGTTAGTAAATAAAGCTACCGTATTTATCGATTACTATATACACCAAGTGCACTAAAACAATATAAACCTCGCAATAAATTATATATAAATACAACAAAGAACAATGTTCTGGTCTGTCAAAGGAACAGTTCTTTAAAGTTCTTAGTAATTTAACGTTATAAAATGTTACTTTATGATTATTTGCAATGAACCGACAACGGCTCGTCTATTGAATTAGCGATAAGAATTTAATGACTTATTAATATAATCATATATTTTTATATTCCTTATTTCACTAATATTAAATAGGTTTGTAATATTTTTATATAAAATACTTTAATGAAATATTGTAATACAAAACTGAACAGATGTCTGAAATGTCTGAAACAGAATGACATGATGTATTATTGATAATGTTTACACTGCACAGACATGGTCAGTAATCTGTAAGTTCGTTGTGTTCTAAACAGCGATCAAGGAGCTGTCAACTTGATTTGATGATTCTCTAACAGAGAATAAATTCTTATAGTTTTGTTGTATTTACTTTATTTCACTTGACCCAAACAAAAACATTAAGTATTAATATGATAAATATGGTTTTAGAAACTGTTGATGTTTCCAAGAATGTGAAATAGTCATTTCAAAATTTTAGTTTCATTTATTTCACTGAACAATAATAGTAGGATCAAATCACAACTTTTTGTTTCAATTTTTTTTTCTCATGATCTATATTTTTGGAATCATTCTTATCATACTTTGATAAGTGAAAAATTTGAATTGAATGACACTGAAATACGGTGCATGTTTCAGACCACACGATAGAAGTCAAGACATCAAAATGGCGAGATTAATAATGTATATATATATATATATATATATATATATATATATGTAAATATTTTATTTTGTTAAATAATCACTAAGTATTATAAAATTAGATATACAATTATAATTTTGTATAACTACCTTTGTAAATGGTTAAAGCTTCTGTAACGGGGGATAGTAGTTTGTTGAAACTCTATCAAGTTCAACAGAAAATCGGATAGAAAAAAATTATTTCTTATATCATATTTTTATGAATAATTAAAAAAAAATAACTATATTGAATTCTGTAAATTACTTTTTGAATTCTGAACGGTATTTAAATATCTTTTCCTTTACGACACTCTAACTCGAGACTTCTTCAAAATACAATGTTGATTTCTAGATCATAACAAAGAGGACGAAATGTTGAAAATTTTCATCGCTTACAGTATGAAGGTCAAAATTTTGAATTTTGAGATATTTTTATCCAAATGTTAAAAAAAAAGTCTGGTGTGTCCACTCACAAGACTTTCCTACCTATTTCCGAAAAGTTTTTATATCTTTACATAAGTTCATGAAGAAACAAAAAAAAATTGAACTAGATTTATTTTCCTGAAAATTGATCAAAGAGAAGATTTGAGTACGATTTATTTGATAGATTAAAGCAATGTAAACCTGCTTAAGGTAGATCAGTGTAAACATTTCAATACTCTCTAATATTGCTGATTAAAAACCTTTTTGGCAGTATTGTCAAAACAATAATTTCTGTTAAAAATAGAGGAAATAGTAAAGCTTGTGTGATGCAGGCAACAGATTTTCTTATTTTCACTTAGACATGACTCAATTCATTCAGTCAATTTCACTTTATTCTCTCATTCACCCCTTTCTGACACCAGGATATGAACCGGTAATCTTACATTGAAAATTAAATAGCTGCAACTTGGTTATTAGTTGTCCAAAATAAACGACTTTTATATGGTTTTGTAGGGAATTTCATTACCTTTCAAAATACATGCTAAACGACGTTTAATACTGGTTCGATCCGTCGAAAACCGCATATCGGAAATTTGACCCGATTGCAATACATTCCTTACGTAGTATAGGTAGGAATGTAATAAGTTAAAAATAGAATAAGCTGTATTATCGCTAATAATGGTTCGATTCCGATGAATTTTTTTTGTTTTGTTGGTAATTTAATTACCTTTCAAAAGTTTTATTATGAATTTTACCGTATAATTAGGAGTTAGGGCTCTTAACATTTTTCTTTTTTTTTTTCTTTATAACTTTTTTTCCTGTATTTTCTCGGGAATTTAGTCCATATAAGGAAAGTTTCGTCAAAATCGTTTGAGCCGTTTTCGCGCTACAGTCTATAGCAAAACGTGTTTTTCATATATTGCGCGCAAGCTATTGGACATGGAGCACCGAATTTCAGTCACAGGCATCAGTAGTCAAAACCCTACAAAATAAAATAAGAATCAACGAAATCGGTTCAGTAATTCCCGAGAAAATCTTGGCAGACAGACAGACCAATGACTAAAAATTTGTTTTTCGGACTCAGGTGGCTCTGAAACATATAGATCCGTCGAAAACCTCATTTCGGAAATTTGACCCGATTGTAATACTTTCTTTACCTAGTATAGTTAGGAAAATTAAAAAAACTCGTTATCATTTGTATTTGACATCTTTTTCTTTTTTGCCTCTCTAACACGGCATCTCGTAAGATACAATTTTAAATAATAGCTCATTTCAAAGAGGATGAAATGCTAAACATTCCCTACTGTATGCAGTTACGAATTTTAGTTTCTGAGATATTTATATCCAACCTCAAACATATTCAAACATCAAACCTAAAACATAGTCGACTGGAGCAAAAGCCGAGCGGGACTGCCCAGTCTCATTCACTACACACAAAATAAAGTGCTAAGCGCGCGCATAAAGAAGTTTTCACTTAAAAAAAAAACTAAGATGTGTGCTTTAGACCACATGATAGAAGGAAGACATCAACAAGGCGAGAATAATAAAATTATACATAAATTATAAATAATATCTCATTACAAAGAAGATAAAATTCTGAACACTTCCTTCACTTACAGTATACAGAGCCGATTTTTATTAAATGAAATATTTTAATTCATATGTTCAACTAAACTCGTCATCGGTTTTCGACAATATTTTTCTTTTTCGTCTCCCTAACACGGCTTCACGATAACATGTAAAAACATTTCTCAATTAGCCGACTTTACCCGAGCGTTAACACTTCAGAAATCTGACAGATCAATCTAATTCACTCTCCACAAAAAAGTGCAAAACGCGCTTAAAGAAGTTCTCAATTGAAAAAATTGAAATGCTCTTTACACATTCCTCATTACTGTCTCAACCTGAGTGTATTGTAAATCTTAAACAATTTAATGAGAGGGTCTTTAATTTCAACTAAGGTTGTTGTGAAACAACATGAGGGGTGATTTCTATATTCATATGGAGATAAAAATATCCTCATTTCCTAATAAATTAAAAAGAAAACAATTGCCGACAGTAAAACCGCTTCAAGATTCTCCCTCCAACTTCTTTTTAGATTTTGACCTCTCTGCGCTTTAGTATTGAGAATAATTATTTCATTAAAAGCCTTTGAGTATTTTTTCACAACCTCATTTCTTAGTGCATTAGCTTTCCTATAAAAGGATGTCGATTTTAATTAAACAATGAAGTTGATAATCATTTGTAGGAGAATATTTAAAATTAATTCAGTTTCAAAAGTCGAGTGTGCTTTTGTAGTAGAAGATTATGCTAAATCCTCACTTAGTACAGAGAGTAAGGTTACAAACAACCGTCGGTACGTTGCCAAAACGTCCTGTTAATCGACAACCCCGTTTAATTCAACATTCCAAATTAAGTCAAATGCAATAAAACAGAATAATATAATTTCAGTTTTCCTGATTTCATAAGAACAAACAATATGGAAAAGACGAGTGGATGGCTATTTTGAAGAGGTTCTACAAATACCTTAGAAATGAGGATTTTATCTCACCTTGTAATAATATTTCGATTTTTAAATCAAATAAAATTCAAAACTATACAGATAGCATAGTCCGATTGATAAAACATTTATAGAAATCAATCTATACAAGGACAAAAAGCATTTAAACAATTTGTTTTTCTATACCGATAAGGATGTAGACATAGAATAAAAAAGATTTTCCAATCCAAGGCCAATTCCATCAACACTTGACACATTATATATTTTTAGATTAGTATTATTATTCCTTGAAGCTAAATCCTTTTTTTTAATTAAAAAAATTACTCATGTCGATGTTCTTAAAATATAAATTATTTCTGTGCCCGGAGGTAAAAAAATTCATGTCCATTTTTTCGGTTAATATAACCAATATACTTCTACATTTGACTCCTCTAATTTTTCATTCGGGCTTAGTTAGGTTTCTCCTATCTAAAAAGTTATAGTAATATCTCTATAGCAATAAGCTAAGTAACTGCAAGACTGTTGCGAGACTCTTGCGCAAGACCAAGACTGAGTTTGCTAGACCAAGACTCGTCTCATTTGGCTAACACTATTTATACACATCCCCATATCCTCCACAGCATTTGCAAACTTGAGAAAAGCATCTCTTAAGGACTCAAAAGATCTTGTGACGATATCCAAGTCATCAGCGAAGCCGTGTACCTGGACGAGCCGGTTCAAAATCGTGTCAGAGGTCTGTATGCCCAAATCATGTAGAACTTTCTCCAAGGCTAGGTTGAATATCAGGCAGTCGAGGCCATCGCCTTGTCTAACACCTCTGGTTGATACAAACAATAGGAGATAACGATTGAATCCTCACTGTACAAGTTGTTCGATCCATTCTCACTTTGATCAGTCAAACCAACTTCAAAGGGAAACCAAGTTCTCTCAAAGCTGCGTACAACTTAGGCCTTTTAATTGTAATTGTTTAATTGTGAATTGTCATCCGATTCTCCTGAGGCTTCTCTAGAATCATCCGGAGACTAAACATTTGATATATTTGACATTTGATAAACTGCAGATCTCCCACCTCTGAAACCTGCTAGATATTTTCCAACTTATCTCTCTGCAAAAGGGATAAGTTTCCTATAACTTACATTAGAGAGATCCTTGTAGGCGCATTATAGAAGTGAATTGAATGTTGCCTTTTTAATGAAGTGGGTAGATGACGCTTCTCTTCCACTGTTCTGGCATTTTCTTTTCACGATTTGGATCGTGAGGATGACATCGTGGAGGATTCTCAAATACTCTTCGCCAAAATGCTTCAATAGCTCGGCTGGAATACCATCTTCATCTGGAGCTCAGTTGTTTTTAAGCTTATTTAAAGCATCCTCTACATTATCGTACCTGAGTGGATCGGGAATTTCTGTACCATCCTCACTACCAGGCATCTCCCACTCTTCTAGGTCTTTTGCGTTGTCATTCAGCAGACTGTCGAAGTGACGTGCCCACGTCATGGATCCATCCTCCGTTTTACATGCCCTGACACGTGGTTTAAAGCTCGTCCTATTCAGGTTGATCCTATCGTAAAAGAGTCTTGATTTCTTCTGATCGCTGCATTTCTCCATCTCCTACAACTACTTCCATTATTCGATATAATGTATTCCATTATTATATTATTGTTGCAATATCACATAAAACTATTTTCGATTTGGGATATTTCTTGCCTTTAAATATATCTTGTCAAAATTCATTACCAATATGCTGAATTAGGATGGCTCTTCCCTTCCTTCCGAAAGACAATATTTCCTAGGCACATTCCTTTACCAGATAATCAATAATCATCGTCCGTCCTACGCATACAATCTGCTACGATTCAAATCATCTATCCACACCCTCTCCACAAGACCTAGTTCTTCTGACCTTTACACCCCTTTCCACAGATCTGCATCATTTAAACATTCCTTCGTTGTCCGTTTCACTGCATTCTGGAATTCCATTCCACTAAAAATCCGCCATGCATCATCCTTATCCACCTTTAAAACCCTCTTATTCCAATTTCTTTTCACAATCCGATCAGACGATCAGACGATCACAATTAAATACATACTATGTTATAAGGCTTTAATTTTCTTTAGACATTTTTTTTTTCTCTTATCTTTTATTTTTTATTCTGTGTTGAACACGAATTTTCATCACCACTCACTAAGCATTGTGAGTAGATAAAATTTGTTTTTCTTAATTTCTAATGTTTCTATTCATGAGATTGTATTTCGTTAAAATGTATTTTATTTTCTAATTATCTTCAACACACTCCTCGCTATGTGTATATATATACACTTTATTTTATTTTTTCTTCTCCTATTCTTTACGCATAATCACTTAAATATCTTAGGGAACATATGTATATCATTTTATTTTTTATTTATTTTTTTTTAACAATTTATTTCTTTACATATTAACAGTTATTATTATTATTATTTTTAATTTTTATATTCCATCACTACAATGCTTTACCTATAAAATTAATTTTGTTTTCCTTTCTAATTTCAGTCAGTGATTATTATGCTATTGTTTTAGCTTCAATATTGTAGTACTGAACCCCTATTACCCAACTGTTCTCGTTAATATATCCTAAGAGCTATTATACTTATTTGTTATTATTCATTGTAATAGGCTTTTGGCCAGATTTATGGTTAATTTATATGAATAATACTGTTATTCTAAACTGACGTAGTCCCAGAATATAGATGATTTTTCTATTCTATTGTATTAAAATCCTAATAAAAATGGACTCCAGTATGACACAAATCCAAAATGTTACAATAAATTGATGCGGGATTTCGACTTTTATTATATTAATACAATGTTTTTTCGATTTAAATTTAAATTACTCGGTGTTTTATTCATTATACCGAACCATTGAAACTATCTCCTTATATCTAAAAATATCTAATTTAAGCCTCTTGAATAGGGATGGAAAATAAAAATTATAAAATATTTTACCTTCGAAATTTACTCTAAAATAAAGTTTATCATTAGTCAATAAAGAGCATGTTTAAGGTTCATTAATGTTTTGAGCTCATTTTTATCTGGATTGCCCTGATCTGTAGTTTTATTTTTTGTTGAAAAGTGAAAGACACAAGTTATACAGGGATTTATGATAGTATTATTCCTTCTTGGAATAACAATGCAATATTAATAATAATAATAATGAAATTACAAACTTTTATTGTTCGTGCCTACTTGGCATTTTATTAGAGATTTCTGTAGATTGGAGTTTCAAGTTGAGAAGAAATTTCTCTACTCTCCATTATATGGCTAAAGTTATTTATTATAAGAAGACATTAAATATTGATTTAGATACATAAATAGATTCTTTTATACATAAATATTGATATACAACCAAATTTTCAAGATTTATAAAGGAACTTAACGTAGTTAAAACATATAATTTCTTGCATCAAAAACTTGTGAATAAACAACATTAATATGCCCATAAATGCGGTTTCTAAAACAAATGTTTCACACGGGTTATTATTAGAGATGTTTGACTAAAATCTTATTAATACAGATATTTTTAAAACGTTTATAATAATGCATATTGACAAATTCAGGACTTCTAAAAGAGCAAAAATTAAAAAAAAAAAAATGTCTAACGTTCCAAAACTTCTTAACTATTAAAAAGACTTTACAGTTGTTTCAAAGAGAAAAAATATGTATTTTTTTGTTTCATTTTTCAAAAGCATAAAATTCTGAATGGTAAATAGGATCTTCCAATTCTTTTTGAGAAATGTCTTGTTGCTAACAATTTTTATCCTGTAATACACCTTACCATTGGAGTAGACCTGAGAACAAAATTGAATATTAGTATAATTTAGATAATTTATTACCCCATTATATGTAGTTTATACTGATTTTATTAGGACATAATGAATAAAAACTAAGAGAGAATGAAATCATGAAATATAACATATATCGATAGAGTTTGAGTATGTGTATGTATGTGTGTTAGTGTTGCCCAAATGCGAGACTAAGACGAATCTTGGTCTTGCGCAAAAGTCCCGCAAGAGTCTTGCAATTATCTATTAGCTGATTACTGTATAGATATTAACATAATTTTTTATCTAGTAAAAACCTAACTAAGTCCGAATGAAAAATTAGTGTTAAGTATAAAAGTACATTGGTTATACCAATTCTTTACATATAGTAACTAAAATTGTCAAATCTTAGTAACTATTTTTTCTTAAATTTTATTCAAAAATCGATTTTTTTACCAGTCTTGTTCTTGGTCTTGTAACAGTTAAGCAATCTTGGTCTTGCTAAGTGCAAGACCTATACCGATTTTGGGCAACACTAATGTATCTATATGATTACAGACACACAAACACACACCCGCACTTACATACAAATACAATAAAATAAAGTAAAAGCAAAATATATATGCTTGGAAAAAATATTCATTATAACCATTAACCATTAAATTATCCACACTTCTTAATAGAATGAATGTTAGTTTCCTATTTTACATCCAAGGGTCGGATTTTATACAATTGCATATTTTGTTTGCATCATTTTTTTTAACCGTTGATCAAAAATCTTTACGAATTAATACACTGTGATGCAATTAGCTAAATTTTATTTTGTATATATATATAAATATATATATATATATATATATAATTTTCTACATAGATGTTCATCGATTCCCGGAAATCCCCTTCTTCTCCCACGTCAACATCTAACTAAGTTTCTAATTTAGTTTGTTGCCTACGTTCTTTGGAAGTCACATGTCTGTTTGCTAAAATTCAAAGAGTAAGTTCTTCATTTTCGTCTAAGCTGAAATCTTGGATTGAACCAAAAAAGAATACACATGAGATGGTTTTTACAACTGATGGAAAAGTTGTTTTTTGCAACTATTGATCAAAAGAAATGGCAAGTGAAAGAAAGCCACAGATTAATCAGCACGTCAGTAAAGATGATCTCTATTGTAATTCACTTTGCTTTTAAGCCTGTAATACAATCAGGGAACCCTTCTTAAGATAAACCTTTATTCTCAAATTATATACATTACACAGAGATAACAAAAAAAGTGTAAAGGCTGGCAAAGATAATTGAAACGAAGGATTAATAATGATTTTTTTTTCATAGTAACGAATGCATATCGTCGGTTAAAAATAGTCATCAATTTATACAGGTATTTTGATTAATTTTCTCTGTATGAAATCAAAACATTGTGAACTTTATGTGACTAATACTGACATGTAATAGTTTAATCCTATTTTGATACATTCAATGAGTTTTTGCATCAATGGATATGATCGTAATTCACAAATACGTTTTCAAAAGTTAGGCTTTATCAAAAGTGTATTTAGTGACTATTTGGACAAAACTGACGAAATATATGTTTGTACTATGAATCCCCTCAACCTTCGCAAGAAATGCGTTTTAATTTTCGCTCGTGGAAGTAAAATTGACTTATGTTAAATTTTTTACCTAAATAGTTTATAGATTTTAAAACAGTAATTAAATCTAAACAATATTAGTTATTTAATTATGTGATAATACAATAATTGTTTTTTGTTTCGTATATACTGTACTGTACAACTGTATTAAATGATAAATACAACAAGTAAATATGAAACACGTAACAAGACATCATGCAACATGAAGAGAAACTACCCATTAGTAAAACACATATTAAAGTTCTATATTAGAAGGTCCCGTGGCCATCTTCTTTTTAGACGCCTCGGAGGGTTATCAGGAATAGAAGAGGAAGCAAGGTTGGAAAGAAGAGGGTTCGGATGGTTCAGAAGTTTATTATGGAATGATAGGTATCTGGATTGAGCTAAATCGGAAACATATGGTACATTAAGGATTTTATGGATAATTTTATTTGTGACAAAGTAGGGAGCATTGAGGATTTTACGAAGGATTTTGGATTGTAGGGATTTGATAGGAGAGGAATTTGATGGTTTAGCAGAGCCCCAAAGCTCGATCCCGTAAGTCCAAATAGGCCTTATTATAGTAATATATATGAGTCTTTTGTAAATAATGGAAAGTTCAGAGTGTTAGTCTAGCAAGTGCTTCAGTAGTCGAAAACGTCGGGCGGTTTCTAGTCGTTTGTCTGGTATGGGGGTTCGATATTTTAATTTTTTTAATGTCGTTCATGTCACGGTTTCGACCATTATAATGTATATATGTATATTATGACCTTATTTTCTGTCCATGTTTAGTTATTTTCATTCTTTAGTATAGATATTTAAAAAAACACTGAAATTATTGTAATTTCATTTTGATTTTAAAACTTTTGTTACATTAATAGATTACTAACAGATTAGTAATTAAGTAATTAGTTAGTTTAGCACATTTAGATATTAATTACTGTATTTTCATGTTTGTTTACGGCATATTTCAGGATTTTTTTTTTTACTGCATATTATACGGAACATTCTGTTGGTTTTTAATGCATACAAATCCGGGCCTTGCTTATAACCTACTTCCACAATATTACAATTATTGGTTGATTGATATATTAACTTAGATAAATTATTACAACTGTTTGTTTATTTCACCTTGTTCCATCAACGCATTTGAGCCCGGAACTGCATCTGTATTCCATAGGACAGCAATAACTTTGGAAGCATCTTCTTAAGCCAGCCATCACCAAAGCTAATGAAGTAGAAATAATAAAAGTTAAAAACAACAGAAACTGCTTAAATCAAAATCTTTATTGTTAATAATATTATTTATATATATATTTGTTTAAGTTCTCCCCTCTCTCGCTTTAAAGGCTATACGAGGTTTTCCCGGGTCATGAGGTGAAGGCGGGGATTAAAGACAGATGTGTACGGCGTATAGAGGACGGAAACGGAAGAAGTCGTGGATAGCCCGAAGGCCATAATCGGACTCCTCCCTATCCTTTCCTTCCACGACCAAAGGATAAGGATGCCGCCGCCTATTAATGGCAGAGTTAAAAGATTCTCCAGGCACCGGGACGCGAACTCGTGACTATTTTTTATTTAGTTATGCAGTGCACACGCGTTAGCCCATTCGGCTACCCAAGTAATAAAAGAATACAAATTATTTTCTGGTAATGAGATATTATAAAATTTTTAAAGTGCATTTTAAACGGAGCTAAAGCTCAAATATTACGAATTCTATTTTTTATATCGACGTTAGGCAATAAAAATCTAGTTACTCCATCTGATTTTATAAACCATATAACTTCAGTCTCACAGAAGTATTCACAGAGTATCATATTCCTTCAAACTTCATATTTAGCCATTTTTTATAGTTGTAGTCAATAAAAGAGAGTTAATTTTTTTAAATAAACCATATTAAAAGTACTTTAGAGGAAGACGTATATGAACATTGGGTATTTAAGCCCTGTAAACTGACATCATTGGGAATAAGGACTAATTGATATTAAAAACCAGTTAATTATAAAATGATTCACTGAGTTTAATCAAAACGGCTCTAATCAAAATTGTAAAAATGTGTTTCACCGTTGATATAAAGTGGCGCTTAATATCAACGAAGTTGCAGAAACATCTCAGTCATGTACATATCTTAAATATGTAATAACACTTTCGTACGGCTTTTCGTTTTTGAGCTGGAGTATTCACATACACATTTTGCGTGACTTGATTATTTGGACTCAGGTAACCTCAAAACGTATATTTCCGTTGAAACCTCAGATTCGAAAATTTTCACGATCGCAATACTTTCCCTTACTATATATTGCATATATTGGTAAATGAAAGTAAAAAAAAAAATACGAGTAGCTTATTTTAATCACTTAATTATTTTCCAAATAAAATTCAGCTCTTATAGCTTATTAAACGAAGAAGTTTTTCTGTAAGTGGGGCATCTGTAGTATCGCTCATAATCCTCTTTGAATAGTTTAACAATGACAAACTCTATTCGCATTTGAATTAAATTTTGTCTAGTTTACAGTGAATAAATCGTTATTTACTTATATAAAATAAAATATTTCTTTAGTTACCACTCCCTATTCAACAAAAAATATGGCTTACTTAAAAAAAACAACACAAAACTTAAATTTCCTACTTTTCTGCCGAAAATCGAACCATTATTAAAACGTTTCGTAGCCCTTGAGATCTCCTGCTTGCGGGACGCCATCCTGTATAATAATCGATAGTTGATTAGCCAGATAATGCGGTTAGCAGAGTCCAATTTTCGAAAAAGCGTAAATCAGCAATGTGATACCAAACCGGTAGCTTACCCAAGTCTTCTGCAAGTCTGTCCAAGGCTAAGACAGTCTGGGAAGCGCCGAGAATGGTGAAGACAAGGAGAACTGCCAACAGCCTGTCCATGTTGAAAACAGCAGCTCGAGGATTGTCATCCATAATAAATAGAGAAATTCAAATTGTATCTCTTTCCAGATTAAAGTGTTTTCGCGATTATCCCAGGCGATATTGTTTACATTGAGAATTCATGATGAAAAAAATCACTCACCTCTATAAAGCCGGAGGCAACCATCGTTCCTAATCCTATCAGATAAAAAGAAAGTGTCTACAATTTTCATTATTTATGACATGCCCATTTTATTATTATTTATGGTGTATTTTTATTTCTTTTTCCAATCTCAATTTGAAAATTGCCATCATAAATTAAATGTTGTTGTTTTTTGTTGGTATTACAGACTTTTTAGATTTGTTTTTCCTCGTTAAAAAGCTTACTCCATTTCTGCCTATATTGCGCTATTTTTTTTCTCATTGATCCCCCGTTTTGTGATTCCGCTCCAATCTCTGATATAGTTCAATTGTAATCAGATAGTGATCCGAATCATAGTCTGTTCTACGATAGTTTCTTACATCTTGTATTGAGCTCTGTCTGATGTCTCCTGTCTACCAGTGCATGGTCGATTTGGTTTTCCGTTCCTTTGGGACTAACCCTGGTGTACTTGTGGATATCCTTGTGTAGGAAGATTGTACTGCTGACGACTAAACATTTAACTGCAGCCAGACTAAAACATCACACTCCATTGTCATTGCTATTTTCGTGAAGCCTTTGGCCTTCGATAATAGACCACCTGGGCAAAAAGTATTTTAATTAATATTTTAAAGTACTGTACTTAAAATACATGCATTTTGTGTTTTTAAGATTCAGTGTATTTTAAATACAAAATAATTTTTGTATTTTTTTTTTTTTTTTGTCTTTACATCTTCATCCGCACCTGTCATGGTAGTGACAATTAGCACAAAATACTTGCGTCTGGTACTTTAGACGCGAACTGGTACTTTAGTTTCACTTTAAAACTGCAAATTATATGATTTCATTTTACTGAAAAAAATAAAAATATTTTTAATAATTTCTTAGGTGGGTTTTAATTTGCATTAACAAAATTTTACTAGAAATTTTTAGTTTTAACACTTTAACGATTTTTTCATCTCTTGAGTATTTCACTGTAATTTTCAACTCCATTGTAATAAAAAAATAATATATTTCTTCTGATTAATTCGAGCATTTCTTCCTTATTCTTTAAAATCATATAAACAAAAATACATTTTTTTCTCCCTAACAATATTCCTTATAAATCTTCCAGTGAAAAAATCCTACAATCTCGTAATTTTGTAAATATCTACCAGTTTATTGTCAAAGATAATTATATTAAAAACTGAGCACCATTGACCTTAAAAAACTTTCAGCTCAATTTTCATGGGCGAGTTCTAATATGAACGAATAGCCTTACTACATTACTTCAACGCCCCTTCTCAATTTGATAATGTATTTTATCAATGGAATATTTTATGAAAAATAAAATACATTTAAAGTATTTTGTATTTTAAAAATACATTTCAAAGTATTTTGTATTTTCAAAAGAAAGTACAGTTACGAAAAATATATTTTACTTCTTAAAATACAAAATACTTTAATATTTTATTTCTTAAAATACAAAATACTTTAATTGTATTCTATTTTGTATTTTACCTTCTGTATTTCAGCTGAAATCCATCTGAATCTCTGGACTTTACCATCCCCATACGGGGGTCAAACACCCGTAAAGGGTCTAAGTAATAATAAAGAACTTATTTTAATTTTTTAATTCTTTATTATTAATTATTATTATTATTTTTTTTTAAATTGTGTGAATTAATACTATAGCCCTAGTACAAATGCCCTTCACTTTGGCAGACTTTATTAATACTCAATTAAATAACATTTAAAAATTATTGTTTTTATATTTTTGTTACATACAGGATTTCAACTCGTGACTTTCCGGTTTTTATAAACTGTGGCCTTTTATTTTTAAAAGGTTTCGGTATCACTGGAATTTTTACTGTCGATAGTTTTCAGTTATTTTGGCACTACAACTTTTGTTTCTTCCTACTTTTCAAGCAAAGATTTTCCAGAACATTTATTTAAATGATTTTTCGATTTGTCTAAAAAATGTATCTAAATATGACTTTTATTCATAGCTATTCAAACAAACGACAATTTAGAATCATGTATAATTCATTTAAGACAAATTTTAACTCCAGTGTAAGCCCATTACTATATGTTTTTCATTTAATGGAACTTTTCTTTTTTAACTTGAATACAAATTATATTTTATCATAAACCTAGAACTTTATTACATAAAAGTTTCTTAGGAATTTTATTTTAAGAACTTTTTTCTCTAAAAACGTTTCACTGAAACTGTTAAATGGAACTTTTCAAAACAGTTCCATAAAAGTTTCAACCCTTGATTTTTATGTTTAAGAATTATTTTATATATGGCGAAAGATTATTTGTGTATTTACAAAATGTCATTAAGATCTTAGAGAGAGGGGAGAGAGTCGGCTCCTGGATGGCTTGGCACGGTTAATGACCCACGATCATTCATAGTACTTTGGCCCAGTATATATTTAGTATAATCGTTTGAGACCTTTATTAGTACAATCTTCGTAGTAGCCTTATCTTATTTTGGATTATGAAAAGATAGCAGGTTTTAAGCCTACTCCTGAATATAGAATGAAGCTTAACAGATGTTAAAAAAAAAAAGAAAAGTATTACATAATAAAAGTAATGGACTGTAAAATATTGAACAAGGCAAAATCTAGATTATAACCATTTATTTTTTCCATAGCATAAAATAATGAAGAAAAACAAATTAAATAAATTTTACACTTGATTGATGATAAAGTAAAAACGGCTAATAGAGGAAAATAAAAATAAATCCTCTGAATAAAAGCAATGATGAAATATAGAATAAAATTAAAATATATTTATTTATATATGTCTACGTAACTGATGGATTAACTCCTTTAGGTGGTAAGAAGAGTGGAATCCGTGAAGAGTGGAATTCTTCTACTTTTGCAGTAGGGGTTGGATACAATTCTGGACGAGGAGTGAATGTACTGGAGAAGTGTCTAGCGAATTCCTCAGCTTTGTCATCATCAGATAATGGCCAGGAGTCATCACATCGGTAGAGGGGGTGGGAAACGTATTGAAATTTTAGGATTTTTTTGTGTTTTTCAGAGGGAATTGTCATGAACGGAGTGAAGTGGGGTAGGAAGTGATTTGGAGAGGAAGATGTCTATACTGCTTGTTAAATGGTGGTGCTGCAGGAATGAACGGCATTGCCAAGGTCTTCTGTGGTTTCAAAGTTATTCTGAGGTCAATTTTATGGGGAAAGGATCTGATGAAGGACGATGGAGAGTGTTTAGGAATAGGAGCTAGAGATAATTGAAGAATTAATGGACTATGATCTGAGAAAGTTCATCAAGTCGGGTAAGGGAATGGATTAGGGGAACTAAACCACGGTGGATGAAGTAATCGAGGATATCAGGATTGCGCTTAGGATCATCTGGCCAGTAGGTATGTGATTTGGGAGGAAGGTGACTGAAGCTTTGGGAATTGAGTGCAAACAGCAAGGATCTACCGCGAGAATTCGTGGTTCTTGAACCCCATTCTTGATGCTTGGCGATTAAGCCTGCACTCAGGATGAAGTGATGTCCTAAGGAGTTGAGGAGAGAACTGAACTGGTCACTGAATATGGATCTGTTAGGAGGGCAATATGCTGATGCTAGGGTGACGGGAAAGCAGAAGGTTTTGATTACAATGGCGGTGGATTGTAGAAATTCTTGAGTAGGTGACAGGACAGAGATTGGCGTACAATGACAGCAGTGCCGCCATGTGCTCTATCGTCAGGATGGTCAGTACGATATGTAAAGTATTGCGGTATTTTGAAGAGTTGTTTAGTGGCTAGTTGAGTTTCAGTAATTAGTGCCACATCAATGTTCTTGTCAAGTAGTAAAGTAGATAGTTTGTCTGAATGATTTCTAACACCATTTGCATTCCAAAGGAGAAAGGTAAGGCCCACCTGATGTAAAATAGACTGTTACTCAATCGAACATTTCAATTTTAGCTTACCTATCAATGTTTTAATTTATTTAAAGTTAAATTAGGGACTAGGCTTATGACTAGGATGGCTTTTTTTTTTAGGAGTTTTTGAGCTTCCTTAACTCTCCTATTAGGCTGTACGGGGGTTTCCTGAGCAGAGGGTGAGGGCGGGGAATTTAAAATCCCCTCTGGTACCGGGACGAGAACTCCTGCTTTTTAATCTTTCAAATCTTTAATCTGGTTGCCGGACAACTGGCGGTGCTGTGCCCACGCGCATTCGGACACCTCGCCGCCATCCTTTTTAGGAGCGACAAATACAATTTAATTTTAATAATGGCGAATTTTAAGAACAGGCGAATCTGCGGAGGAGGGAAGGCTTCCGGACTACAGTCCTTACCCTCCTCCAAAAAAAAAAAAAGATAAAATATAACTAGTCTTGGTATACATAGTATATATAGACGAATCTTGGTCTTGCGCACTTAGTCTTGCAGCTAACTATTAACTTATAACTATAGAGATATTACTGTAATTTTTTAGATATGAGAAACCTAACTAAGCCCTAATGAAAAATTAGAAGAGTTAAATGCGAAAGTATATTGGTTATATCAATTCTTCACATATAGTAACTAAAATTGTCGGGAGTTAATAACTATTTTGCCTTAATTTTTATTCAAATCTCTGAATGTATTATCATTCGTGTAATTACATTTAATAGGAATTTCTAATACCACTTAAGCATCCTTTCATAAATGTAATTAGTTTCTTTTATTTTCTTTCAAAGTAATTATAGTCTTGTATATAAATAAAAACCTTTCTAGCTGAAGCCCCCCCGCTAGTGACGCGTAAATGATACCGCGATGAGTAGATGACGAATGTAGTAAATACAATTTTAAGAATAAAAATTCTTTTTCATAAAGAGTTAATCTAATAAAAATAAGAAAGGACTGAACCATTGGAAGATAGATAGTAAGAAAATAACATTGCAGTTTAAAGTAAAGTAAACCATTTTGCCTCCATCACTTAGATGCTTTTCCCTTTTTTTATTCTCAACGATTAATTTTCCTTCTGCAAAATTTATCTTGAATAAACTGAATTAAAAATTAAATTAAATACTTAGGAACAAGAAAAACGTACCCCTAAAGATTTCATTAAGCAATTCACCATTCCTTAGATGTTTTATACATTTTGTACCTTTCTTTAAGGGTTACACAGAGATTTAAATTACCATAAATTCGAATAAATATCTGAGTTCTGATCAAAGCCTACAGAGTTGTTCTATCCCAACAGTCTACCCATTTATTCTTTTCCAACCAAGTAAGTATTACTTTCTAAATATAAAATAGTTTTATATTTAATAACTTTTTAAAAGACTAATTCTAAATATTTTCTTATCATGAAACATGAGAATATTCACATCATTGAAATGTATTAAAGTGCAAGTTAAGTTTTTCAAATATTTATATAAAACATTATGACTTATGAAAATGTGTTTGATAATAGTCCCGAACTGACTGGAAGTGAATAAAGCAAAATAAACTTAATTTTTCCTCAGTCAGCTCTTTTGTTTACTAATTGTGACCTTGCCTAATCCCATTTCAGATCATAGTGCCTTACTTCTGAATTTATTGCTATTTTACAGTTGTCAAGTTCATGGCTTTCATTCAGAGGATCCTTAGTAAAAGAAATGTCTGTTCAAACGCTCTTCGCAAGAAAGATGTTCCAAAACCGTTCAATCAAATACCTGGTCCTAGAAGTTTACCGATCATTGGCTCATCTTGGAAGTATATACCCTTCATGGGTGGGTTATTTACTTTAAGTAGTGATATTAAATTTTAAAACCATTTACTAAAACCATTCCATTAAATATCAATAATTTCTCACAGTGATCCTAAAACATCAAGTAAAAGATTTGTTTACAACAAGCTACTAACTAAACATTAATTTCACATTCTATTTTGGACTTATTATTATTAATATCAAAATATATTAGTTAAATTAATTTTTTTTTTGAAAGAAATAATTGAGAAAAAGTTGATAGAGAATTGATAACTTTTGAAATAACAACAAAACAATAAATATCTTCTGTCCATTGTTGGGTAATTCATAAAAAAAAATAAAGATAATATGAGATTTGTCGAGGAAACATTTTTAAAGCTATTAAGAGTACAGATTAAAGATATATAATCTGTGTATTGTTCATGTTTTTTTTATTTAATACTGAAAGATACGGAAAGTTAAAAGGTAAATAAATACTAAAATCTATCTTTATGATTTATAAGTTGTAAAATTTACATATTTAAAAAAGCAATCAGTTAACATAAAAAGATTACATGTGAAAAATATCAAGAATGACCATAATAAAAAGCCAAAAATAATACAAAAAAAAAAATGTAAGCTTTATGTAATTGTTTGTAGAGTGTTTTGAGTAATAAAAAAATCTGAATTGCCTATTAATTATTAAAAGAACACCACCTCCATTATTTTATTAAATAATTTAGTAATTAAGAAACAGATATTAATTGCTCAAAGTTATGGAAAATTGGCTCTCCTCAACAAATACAAAGATATGACATGGTCTTCTTAACACCCGGGGTAAAGATATAATCTAAAGAGATTTCAATTCAGAATTCAATTAGTATTTAAGTAATTAAAATAGAGGTGGGTGTTTAATAGAAATGCTATAATTTTGTGTTAGAATTGTTCTTTTAAGTTTCTTCTTAATTTGATATAAAAATTATTTTGATCTACCATAATCTGTACAAAAATATTCTGGAACTAACAATGTTTATCAACAACAAAGACAGTGAAAAATGAGAAGTTAATGTTTCCTCATGTATACTATTTTTCTATAATGACTTGTAGACTATTATATTTAGATTAACTTAATTTGATTTCTTATAAACTCTATTGTAATTGCAGGAGATTGGGATGTAAGTAAACTCCATATTGTTGGTACTAAGAGATTTGAACAATACGGTGGACTAGTTCGTGAAGAGGTTTCACCTGGAATAAACTTTGTACATGTGTACAGCGCCCAGGACATAGAGAAGATATACAAGAATGAGGGGAAGTACCCCGAGAGGTTGGGCCATCTAGCCCTCATGCACTATCGCCTCTGCCGACCGCATCTATACAACAGTGGAGGCCTCCTACCAACGTATTTATAAGTTTTCGTACAAACAATTTAAGATAGATTTGTTATAGTGAATATATAGTTGATTTTGGCACAGATTTCTGATTTTGATTGGGGAGAGAGGCAAAGGACCAAAAAAAAAAAATGGTGGGAGTTTTTATTATGTGTGAAACGAACAAATAGTGAATATTTAAAATGAATTTGTTTATAATATAAACATAATATATAAATATTAATAATTAATTATGATATGTTTATATCATAACATATTATGATTGTATAGTTGAAAGGATATTTATTTAATTTTTCTGTTTTACTTATGTACACTTGAACATATATAACAGTCCGACTAGTTTGTCACGGAAAATATGATAAGAATATCACTTGCAAATTGAGGGATTATTGAATAATAAAATCCTAGGATATGTTGTTATGTATCTTTGAATATAAATGACAATTTAAAGAAAACATTTAGGTATCAATTAAACAGTTATATACCTACTACTAGCGGTTCTAGCCTAGGCAGCTAGTCGACTTTTCTTAATTGATTTTAGTTAACACATTTTAATCATTCATATAGCTTATTTATTATTGATTTCAATTTTCTTTTACCTCAAAATATGGAGAGGGAAACGATATTCTCGCCCCCTAAAAGATTTTTATTGTGGAGGGAGGAGACGATCACCCCTCTCGCCATCCTGGAGTCTGTACCTACGGTGAGAACCACAAATAAAAATAATTTTTAAAAATTTATTTTATTTCATGCCAATGTTTTGCCCTAAGTTTCAGGCTTTCATCAGGCTTTATGAAAGACAAGATGATGAAATTAAATAACCGTTATTTATGCAAATTTACTCATATTAAAATTAAATAAATATTACATTATTTAAAGGAGGAAATAAATAATAATATTGACTATTTTTTTTCTCTCTTTTTTTTCACAGGCCTTCTCTTTCAGGAGTAATACCAGTACTTCCCAGGGCGACTAGCCCTATTGGGAGGCAATTTCTGTCCACTTCTTCTTCCACAGATCCCTGTGTCTAGCAGCTCTCTACCAGAGGGGTCCTGCCAACCATTTGAATATGTTGCTCTACCTTTTCTTTTGGAGCCCTTTTCTTCTTTAAAGGTCATGTGGATTCCAATTTGTGAAAATTCTTGACCATCTATTGTCTTCGCAAGGAGATGCACAGCCCATTTTCATTTACTCGTTCTTGTCCATCTAAGTGTATATGTGAGTCTTATTTCTTTTATGATCATGATATCTCTCACTCTGTCCCTTTTCCTAAACACTTGTAATTCATCTTTCAATATTATTCTGCCATACCTGGAGCTTCCCCTCGTGAGGTTTTGTCAAAGACCAAGCTTCGTATCCATAGGAGAGCAAATGCCAGTCAAAGACCAGTCTTTTTAGGTCAATACTTATATTTCTTTTTCATATGCTTGAGGGAACAAAACTTATCCCAGTTAAGTGCCATTCTCCTTTGGGCTTCCTTTGCTCTGCGAAGGATACTAACTGACCCTAAGAGACATACTCTTCTACAAATTCCAAAGTGTGGTTGTTTAATTTGCATTCTTCTTTCCCTCTATTTGTCATTATTTTATGAAAACAAGATAACAACTAAAAAATTATTGAACAACTATTGTATAATGATATGAGAACAAAATTGAAATATATGATAGGCAGAACCTAAATTTGAGGAGAAGGGGGAAAGTACAAAAATGGCATAGCTAGTATCATAACAACCTCTTCTCAGAGAGAGAATACTAAATCCATTACAAATAAAAAAATTTAGTAAGATGAAATACAAATTCCAAATCTGATATTTAAGTTTATCTTTCAAGCATCAGTCAAATTACAAGAAAAAAAATTCTCAAAATTAGTAATATTTTTTTTTAGTTTTAACATTTTATACTGAAGCCATAAAAAATTGAGACAAACTTTGATTTATTTTATTTTTGTAATAAAAATGAATGTGAAATGTTTTCTTTAGAAATGGAAGTGAATGGTGGAGACTTCGTAGCACTTTCCAAAAGCACATTGCTCGTGTTCAGGATGCCCGTTCTTTTTTGTCTAAAGGAGAAGATATAATTAACGATTTTGTCACAACCATATTGTTCAATAATTATACATGTGAAGATTTCCTTCCTCTTCTTTCACGACTGTATTTGGAATGTAAGTCTCTATTAATTAATATAATGATGGTGGATAATTGCTGTCTGTTAAATGATATTGTTGAAAAGAAATTGATTGGGGATTGCAGTCTTGGAAATACTTTATAATTTATTTTTACTTTGTACTTCCAAGGACTGCAATCCAATATAAGATTTCAAGACTGCAAAATTAATATATATTGAATAATACAATATTTTCTTGCTATTTATTTTTTTTTCTTACAGTGATGTGGATGTTCATCTTTGGTAAAAGATTGAACAGTTTTGACAGCATTAATATTTCTGAAAATTCTATTCCTTCAAAATTAATGAAAGCAGCAGAGGATATCACTCACACAACCATGATTACGGATAGCAGCGAGAAAATTTGGAAGGTCATAAAAACTCCATCGTACATTAAAATTGAGAAGAACTTTGAATATATTGAAAAGTAAGTTAAATAATTAAATTTTTAATTTTTTTAAGCAGAAATAAACGAAATTTAGAAAAAAGTCATATATGTATATTGTGCTGTACGCAGTATTATGTTAAGGTATGATTTCCTACAGATATTAAATGATTTTCTACTCTCAGGAGTGATGGATTTTGATGAACAACGTGTCAATGTAAGGGAATTTCATGGAAAAGTGGTAAAACCTGCACTTTGATCCTTAAATTCTTACTAAAATTTTAATAAAACTAGTAATTCGATGGAACAAAATGGGACAAATTGTGTAAAGACTTAGATGCAGACTTCAGAAACTGGTAAAGTTCTTTCTGAATATACTGGAATCTGTGTTTTAGAGCCCTAAAAAGTACAGTTTTCAAGATAAATTATAATTCTTATTGAAAGTCTAATATAGCAAAAATAAGAAGGATATATAACTAAAGGGAGAATTCTCACTCGAGTTATATTAGTTTCTATATAACTATACAATTTTTCGTACTGAACAATATTAATTCATAATTAGTATCAATTCATAACTATAGAGTTTGGGGCTATCTTTTCATAGTCCAGAGTCTACTAACTGGTTTCTGAAAATAAATTTCATTATCCATAGCCAAAATCAGAACATGGAGATGGCAGCCTAGACTATTGTTTGTTAAACTAACTTAAATCAAATAGATTTCATGTAAAAAGGAATCTATAAATAAATCAATTTGTTATATCTTTTTTTTTTTTTATAGAAAAAACAAAACATTTTATTGGTTTCAATAATGTAGTTGGTTGTAGGTAGAAAATAAGGTATAAAGAATAGTTCAAATAATTATTAGTTGTAAATAGGTTATATTTCATGAAAAATTAAGACCTTTTCTGTGTGCAGTTTGAAACTGAAACCACGAAAGATAAAGAAAAAATAAATAAGATAGTCTTAAAAAGTCAATTTTTTTATAAACTAACAGAAACTAATGAAGTAATATATATGTGTGTGTGTGTGTGCGTGCGTGCGTGCGTGCGTGCGTGTGTGTGTGTGCGTGCGTGCGTGCGTGCGTGCGTGCGTGCGTGCGTGCGTGTGTGTGTGTGTGTGTGTGTGTGTGTGTGTGTGTGTGTGTGTGTGTGTGTGTGTGTGTGTGTGTGTGTGTGTGTGTGTGTGTGTGTGTGTGTGTGTGTGTGTTAACTATCTTGTATTGTTTTGCAAATTAGATAAGTATTTTTTTTTTTTTTTGTATTTTTTCATTATTGTTATTCTAAGAGGACTATGTCTCAGAATAAAGTTTTTTTTATTTTTTTATTTCAATTTCTATTTCTATCTTTCAGGATTAAAATATCCTTTTTATGATTTCACATTTAGCCAACATCCGTTGAAATTATATTTAAAACATAATAGTCCATATCTGTACCTCTGAGGTACAAATATGGACTGTGTTACATTTCTTACGTTTTGCAGGATACCAATTTTAACAAATGTTTCCCTGCAAATAGAAGTAGAATTAGTGTTCTTTTAAAAGCAACTGAATTCTCTCAGAATTAATTTAGAATATACTTATTATAAGGCAAAAATAGGTGAATAAAAATATGTTACATTTATAAATCAATAAAAAGATGGAAATAGTATCCTTTACCGCAGGAGTACAGATAGGTCAAACTAATTTCCAGGGCACAAATTTACTCTATAACATTTTTTTAGGATTGTGCTGAGTGCATTGAAAGAGGCAGAGACTGAAAATAGCAAAAATAGAAAACACTCTGATGAAAATTCAAAGATCTGCTTGATAGATAAATTTTTCCAAACACCAGAAATGTCTAGCAAAGACATCAATGCCATGACTGCTGATTTAGTACTTGGTGGAGTTGATACGGTTCGTTTTAACAAGTTTATCTTTTAATATTAAATCTACTTTTTATCGTAATATTTTATGTATTTTATTGTAATACTTCTTACTGTAATATTATAAATATTCTTTCAGACTGCCTACACTACTGCTTTCCTCATGTACAACCTATCTCGCAATAAAGCAGTACAAGAGAAGCTGTATAGCGAAGCAGTCAAACTTCTTCCTTCTCCAGATACAAGAATCACATCCGATATATTGAATTCAGCAATATATGCACGAGCTGTATTGAAGGAATCATTGAGGCTGAATCCGGTTTCAGTAGGAGTAAGCCGCATTCTACAACAAGACACAGTGTTTTCAGGTTATCTCGTCCCAAAGGGTGTAAGTATTAAATATGAAACAAACGTCTAATATGATTGAGATTATTAAACATTATCTGTTTTATTTAAACTAATACCATTCCATTATTATGAAATTAATAAATGTTGAATTGAAGATATTGAAAAATATTTATTTATACAAGAATTATTTCATTGAACAGGTAAGGAAAAATGAGAGGAATATCAATACCATTAATTATTTATTTACATTCCTACCATGCCTGATAGGCAATACGGGTTTTATTAGCGTGAGCATAGCAACATACTACTAAATAAACAATATTACAATTTTCATGAGCTGGACTCACAGCTTGATTATATTTCTTTACGTTTGACAACGGTCTTCTTCTGCTCCTCCTCTGTCCAGCGACCTTCCAGGAGAGCTCCTCTTCATCCTAAGGAGAAATGGGTTAGGCCTACAGTTGTTTTTCATCCTGACAGAAAATCGCACATAGCACCGCGCGTTGCCCAGCAACCTTATAACAGAAGTTATGAGATAAAATAATTACAAGTTTGTGTCCCATTGCCGGGGAGGAGAGGGGTTTTTAACTCTGGAAATAATCCCTTGCCCTCACCCACTGGATTTGGGAGAATGCAGGTATCAAAATTAAGAGCATACCGCAAACTGCAAAAATGGTGGAGCCAGGATTTTACTTTGGAGAGCTCTCATGATTTAACTATCTGATCATTTTTCTTCCAGTTTGATTGGGAATAGAAATCATTTCAATTATTATTCAAAAGAAGTTCATTCTTTCTAAAGATCAACAGATTACATGGTTATAATAACTACACTAGCTATCACTCAAAATTATTATAATTTTTGAAATACATTTCTTGAAATGTATGTATGTAGTCAGTGAAATTGTTCAAACTGATTTCTTTAAATTAACTATATTCACCTTTTTTTTTATTTCTTTACATCTACAGACAATGGAATAAATAAATAAATTCTTAAAAGATTCTTCTGTTACTGACACATAATTAAGATTTTTAAAATATCAATATAGGTAAATATTTAATTTTCAGTATAAATTGTTTCTTTTCTTCTTATTTTCTATCGTTTATTGAAAGAATTTATAAAAGTTGTATATATTAACGAAATATTGAAAAAAAAGAAATTGTTTGATATGGTATGAAAATTAAGATTATTAAAAATAAATAAAGTCCTTCCATTATCAGCAGACAGGTATTCAACAATTATTTATAGACTTTTTTTCTTCAAACTTCATAGTTACAGTCAAATTTGTTTTTTAGACATTAATGTTAACCCAGAATCTTGTAGCCTGCCGTAATGAAGATAACTTCAAAAATGCTTTGGAATTCATACCAGAGCGTTGGATTCGAGGTTCTCCTGCATACCAGGAAGTATCACCTTACTTAGTGTTACCATTCAGCCATGGTCCGAGAACATGTATAGCACGCAGACTTGCTGAGCAGAATATGCTAACCCTACTCCTTAGTGTAAGTGCAGCATATTTTTAAATTGTAGTTATTATATTGATATATTTGTATTTATGTAACGTGTACTTAAATATCATGTAAACAAAGGTTCTAAAATAAAATTAGTGTAATTATTGATCAAGATTAGTTGTGTTTATAGTTTTATAACTTAAGGCCATATTTAAACACTACCAGTCACTGGAATGATTAAGAGAATTTGAATGACGCTTTTGCAGTTTACGCATTGCCAATAATGGAACAATCCAGTGATTGTGTTTAATGCATTTTGTTCGAGCTGTTTTTGAGAAAATCAGGAAAAAAAATGTGCTAAATCGATAATATAAAGTGGCACTTCCATTTAGTTGATTTTAGCCAAGAAGTTACTATAAAATTTCAGTCATCTATCTAATTTAAATACATAATTTCAGTTCTCTACAACTTTTTGTTTTTGAGCACATACACCTCACGCATATAAACACACAGAAACACCTTTTTGTATTACTTGATTATCTGGACAGTACCACTACTCAATTGACGAGATAAGACATCATTAGCCCTCAAGCTCCCTTTGCCAGTTTTATTAATAAAGTCGAGCTGTTCTCAAATTCTAAACTCCAAGTAAGGTCCTCTAATCTTTTTCAACAACATTCACTCATCAAAACTTTAGAAGGCCTTTCGGTCAAGTTACAAACAGGTCCTTATCAAGAAGATTTTTTGGGGATCTCATCTGGTCTTTCCTGGTTGCCTAGAATCAGTTTATCATTTTCGGCCTAAATTTTCATTCCATTACATAGTAAATTTTTAAAAAATATGAAATTTAGCAAATCACTCAAACATGAGGTTACTATAATGTTAAATGCATGCGTTATATCTCCTAGAAAGCTCATTTCACAACTGAATGGCAGTTGTAGAACCTATTGTTTTGTTACATCACAAGCGATGGCAGGACTCAGTGGAGGTCTGAATGTGGCCTGTGGGCCAAAAAGTTTGGGACCTCTATTCTCAAGAACTCTCCTGTCTGACTCCATATGCAAAGAGTATACTTCCTTGTTTGTTCATCTCCTCCATGTTGATCCATTTTTAGCTGGGCCATAGATTGGTCAAAGTACTTTTCTCCCGAATGTTTGAAGATTCCTTTCAACGTCCTAAGCTAAGAGAAGGCCGATGTACAGTGCCTAGCTGCCTCAACTGGTGTACCGACTAGCAGCATGTAAACTAGTATAGCCTTTATTTATCATAGTATTAACATTGCAACAACCTTGTGTACTCTATGGTTATGAAATATTTCATAATAAAATAATGTTTTAAAAAATATTTTTCACTGTTAATAGGAGAAAATTGTCAATATATTTTCATAAATTTGAATTAACATTCCATTTCCAGTTTTTTAATTTTAATTTAGTTCTATTAGTTTATAATAAATATCAAATTTTTCAAGCTCTATTTAAAAAAAAATCAAAATTACTGTAAATGTTTAAAAAAATCTTATTTCGTAACATTAAAACTAAAGACTATATACTTAATACTGTACTTACTATTCACCAATATAATAGATATAAAAATTTATTATGGTATTTATTTAATCAGTAACAAAATTCTAAATTTTAAGTTTTTAATTGTAACATAACGCATTATTCTGCTTCAGATTATAAGAAAATATTCTATTTCATGGATGGGAGAAGTAATGGACATTGAAACACCTTTAACATGCAAGCCGGATAAAGCAGTGAAGTTGTCATTTCATAATTGGGTTGTGAAAAACAAGGTTTTGAACATTAGTTAGTTAGTATAAGTATAAAAGGAGAATATTTAATTCATCGACAGGATTTTACATGTGTCTCAAAATGTTATATTTTAAAATATTGTTGATTTATCTAATATTTATTAATTTTTTTAAAGTGGTCTTTGCAATTGTAACTAATTGACCTACTGTTAGTATTGTCTAAAAATATTTCTTTTAAAAAAAATGACATAATAAATTAGTATTTTTTTTTCTATACCTCTCCTCTCTCCATGAACAATCAAGGTTTTATTCAGACTGATGGGAATTGAGTTCAATATTTTCAAAATGGCTTTCTCCAAAGTACCTTTAATTTTTTTTTTCCATTTTATACTTATTTTTTTGCTGATATTAGAATAACAGTAAAAAAAAAATAATAGTGGTATGCTAATCACTATTTGATAAATCTGACAATAAGACATGATTGTTAATAGCACTGTCATGACAGAAAGGTGACCTTTGTTAAGGTTTTCTAAAGGGATTAAGGAGCCATTTATTAAGGTGACTTTTTATAAGGATACATTTTGTATATGTATTAAATCATATGAAAGTTACATTTTAGACTGAGCACTGTCCTTATACAATTTATTCCTTACTAAAATAGGAACGACTAATGAAATTGACTAAATAAAATGTTTTTAATATAACTCAGAATTTTGAGCTTTCAGGTATTTTCCCAAACACTTGCAAAGTGGTAGCTGACTGTTTTTAGCAGGATATTCTCTGGTTTTTTATTTTGAAGCTTAAAATTTAAAAATCAGATTTTGGTATTATCGTAATAACAAATTATTCCTATAACAAACTCAAAATCAGAACAAATACGGTCCTTTTTAATACAATAATATTTTTTAAATGCCAAACTGCATAAGACCAGATCACATTATCCATCAACATAAGATAATAAATAAAGTAGTGAATCTTCATGTATAATTTTCATAGTATATTGGTCAGAGAACAAATGGTATTTTAATCTGGAAACTGTATATATTAATTATCAAAACATTATGATATATATTTATATCATTATTATTTAAAATAATAAACCAAAACACGAGAAAAGATAAAAAGATTTTATTTAATAGGCCCTATCTTTGCTAGTAATGATCTGATTTAAGTTTTTAAAATTTTTTTTGGGGGATTTTTAAAACCTTTCAAATTATTCATTTTATATACTATAAAGTTTTCTTTTCTTCATAACATTTTTCTTGACTTTTCTAGGGATGTGCTTATTTTTCGCTACTGAAGGAAAAGAAGGGAGATATGTTGTAGCGAAAAATAAAATAGAATAACTAAAGTACTGAAATAAAATAAATCAGACTAGGGCAGTAATTTCAAATAAAAAAAATTAAAATACACATTAAATACTTGTTATGTATTTTGCATGTTAAGAAGTAAAATATAAAATACATTGTTTATAACTGTATTTTATGTTTAAAATTCAAAATAAGGATTGCTTACAGGACTTTGGGGTCTTATCATAAGAAAAAGTAGAAGAGCATATTTTGTTAAATAAAGAAGTAAAGAAGGAATAACAGATTGTTTAATTTGGGGAAAATATACCTTTTTTTTTTGTTCCTTTAATAATATTTAAATCACTTTTCAGAAAAAAAAAAAGGAAGGATTAAATGTATATAATACCTTAGAGAATATTTAAAATAGGACAATTTGTCACTTTTATAATAAATTATTCAGAAAAATGCTTTTTGAATAAAATAATTTATTAAAAATTAATTATTTTTAAAAGTACATTTGTCTTCTGATCTCATTATTCCTTTCCTTGCTGGAATAAACTTATTTTTTAAAGGAATTAATTGTAAAGCACGACCACATGCAAGTCCGGTCTGGCAGAATTTGGGACCCTTGGCAAGAGTATGAAGTGGGCCCCTGTTTTCTGGACTATATATATATATATATATATATATACATACAAGTTACATATACTTACTAGTAAGTATATACTTATATATACATATAATGGGTCCCAAAAGTTTACAGAAATAAATGGATACAAAAAATGAACTATGGCGCCCTCAGAGCAGATCCCCAATCATCCTACAGTGATAAAAAAGTACAAAATATTTACTATTTTGATCCATGGGAGTGGCCCCAAAATTTGAAGAAATAAACTAATACAAAACATCTTTTTTCTTTTTTCTGGGAAGTTGTCTATTTATTTTTAGTTATTTGGCAATAATAACTTCCAATTGGTAACAATTGAGTATATTTCTATTATCAAAGTTACATGTTAACAAGTTAGTTGATGTTTCAGGATATTTATTCCCATCTTTGGAACTGCAATCCCAATAATCTTGTGGATGCAAGGCTAAACATTTTTTTGAGTTATAATATTGTGCTTGTTACATTACATGTTTGAATTTTGTTGTTATAATAAATTTGTAATCACCTTAAAATTAATAATAATGTGCTCCATCATCAAATTTCTAATACATGTTATAAAATGTATCATCTAGAGCAACATCCTGCTTTTGAGCAATAATTGGGTGTCTGCCATAGTGAAAAATTGACCTTTGGATCTGACTGTTTTATCTATTTTTATACTGTTGCTGTTAATGTTTATTTTATGTATCTGTAATTTCACTTCTATTAAATTTTAATTTTGTTTACTATGTCCGTATAATGAGTTCTTAAATGTTTAGTGTCTGTTTTGTAGTTGACTTGTTCTATTGTTTTTTGTGATGTGTATTGCTTCAAGTAATTTCCTATTGGTGTTTTTTGGTTCTGTGCCTATTTTCTGTAGTTTGTTAAAGTTAAATTTATGCTGTAATTTTATACTGTGATGTGCTAAAGCTGCTGTGTTTATGTTTTTTGTATTTTTACAGTTTGTGATATGTTGTGAAATTCTAGTCCCTAATTGCTTGGATGTTTCACCAATGTAGATTTTGGGGCAGTTTTGACAGTTTAATTTATATATTACATTTTTCTTGTTTATTGGTTCTATTTTATCCTTTGTGTTGGTGATGTGCCTGCTTAGTTTCTTATTATTATATTGTCTGAGTTTAATTTCTGTTAAGTCATAATTTTTGAACACGTCTTTAATTTTGTTAGTAAGTTCAGGTATGTATGTAATTTTGTAGTAGTAGTTAAAGTCCATTTTGTTTGTGATACGTCGTTCTGATTGTTCTCGTTTGTTGGATTTGTTTTGCACAATATTATTGGGATTGCAGTTCCGAACATGGAAGTAAATATCTTGAAACGTCAACTAACTTGTTAACATGTAACGTTAATAATAGAAATATACTCAATTGCTACCAATTGGAAGTTATTATTGGCAAACAACTAAAAAAAAAAAAATAAATAAATAAATAAAATAAAATATATATATAAAACACAATTATTTTTGGGGTACTAAGAAAATATAGAAAATGATTTAGAAATCCCCTCCGTCCCCTTGGGAGATGTATATCCTGATTCCCGATTAAAGTACTCAGTAAGGGGGTTAGGGGGTCATCAGTCCTACGCCCGGTCGGTGTGAGTTGCCTCCAGTAGCCTGACGGGCCTCACATACCCGGGGGGGGGGGGGAGATCTCGGACAGCGTAGCTTTCTCTGACGGAAGATCACTCATCCAAGTGCTAACCACGCTCGGCGTTGCTTAACTTTGATTACTTATTGCAAGCACCTTAGCCCGCACAGCTACCCCATATATATATATATATTACTTGGAAAATAAAAGAAAAAGAAAGGAACTATATGAAATGATGCATAAGTGATTCTTCCTATCCTATTAAATTCTATTAAAAATATAATTACTTAAACAATAAGACTTGTAGAGATAATTTTTAAAAAATTTGTTCATGAGACATCCATGTACAAATTACTATATGGATATATTTAGTTGCTGAATAAGTATTCTCATTTAAAAAATAGAACATATTTTTATTTTTCAAGTTAGCTTAGCTTAGATCATTCACAGTAACAGATATGGAAAAAAAATGTCCATTATGGCGAGGCTTCAACCCGAACCCCCCTTTCCCACATTAGATCCACCACTGGACAAAGTATTTTTTTTTCAATTAAAATACAAGATATTTTGGTACCTTGCTCACGTTTGATATAAATGTTAGGGGAATTCACAGGTGGTTAAGGCTGGGGGAATCCCAGGATTGAGCAAGTTAATGCGTGAATAGCGGGTGATATCAGGTTGACAGCGGGGAATGACCCGAGTAGAATATGTGGCTACTCCAACTTATCATTTCGCCTCAAGTGTCGTTTACAGGCCGACAATAACTGTCGAGGCAGCAGCAATGTCATTGTTTAAACGGTGACAGTAAAACTGCCTGGTGATAACTGGAAAAAATAGTGGGCGTTGAACAGCTGATTTCATGTTAATTTAACAAACAACCTTGATTTCAATAACTAAACAAAACAAATCTAGATACAATATTAAAGAAATTTATATGTCTATTATATAAAAAAGTTTTTAGTGATGATCGTATTTTTTTTTTTCGGATATATCTGGAACAGAAAAATATGAAATCAGAATTATATTAGAACCATTACTTTGTGATGGAACGATAATGAGATTTATCGCTGATTTACTGCAATCACCTACTCTGGGAATCGCTTATTCGCTGTTTATACAGATATTAGAATTGTTCCAACTATAGTTATATAGTTTTATTATTCTTCTGAGAATCCAATAACATAAAACAAAAGTTAAGAATAATTGAAACACAGCAATGCATTGTATGTTTCCCTACAGAATCACATACGTGGCGGTAAATATTATTGTAGTTTTTCTGTAGGTATAAATTATATTCGTATTTTTTTATGACTCATTAAAATACCTTACGTTTAATTGAGTAACATTTATGAGAAAGGTCTTTGGTGTATGAAATGAAACGAAAACCAGAATAATCTTTCTGCCTAATCATAATTTTAAGGGTTTACAGATCATGGTAAAAGAATGTCAAGTACAAGTAGAGGAATACGTCACTGGAACATAAGACGTCATAAAGAAGCAAAGGACGTCAGAAACGACTTTCACATCTTTCTCAACTTCCTTCGGGAGGTCAGCTCCAGATGTGTGTTA